CCCTAATGTAAACCCTAATGTAAACCCTAATGTAAACCCTAATGTAAACCCTAATGTAAACCCTAATGTAAACCCTAATGTAAACCCTAATGTAATGTAAACCCTAATAGTTAGGTATAAAAAATATATATTCCTATCTAAATTAACTAATAATTAATCTACAGATTAAATTTCTTGGTAATTAAGCCTATTTAAAAAGATAATATAAGATAACAGAATATTTTTATCTAAATCTTATCTAATCCTACTTAATTCCTGTCTAATTCTGTCTAATTCTGTCTGATTTAAGTATAATAATTAACTATAGTTAACTATTATATCTATAGTTAATCTGATTTTTATATCTTAACCTAACTACCAGGTTAAGATCAGGTTAAGGTTAAGGTATAATAGTCAGATTAAGCTACTTTAAGTAGCTTAATCTAACTATTATATCTAAATTAGGTAGAATTAGGAAGAATTAGGTAGAGACTAGATTAAATTAGATAGAAATCAGATAAGATTAGATAAGAATTAAATAGAAATATCTTATAGCTTTATATTATTTTTTTAAATAAGCTTGATTACCAGGAAATTTAACCTGCAGGTTAACTATTAGTTAATCTAGATAAAAATATATATATATTTCTTATATCTAACTATTAATCTATAGTTAGATATAAAAATTTTAATTAACTTAACTTAACCTAGCTGTTAGCTACTCTAATAAAATCTTATAAATATATCTTATTATATTTAGTATAATTAATAATTTATATAATTATAATATAAATATTATGAAGTTTAAAAATCTTAAAAAAAAGATAAATAAATAATTAGATTAGAATTCTATTTTTACATAAAATTCCTATTTTATTATACTTTATTATTATATTTAATAATCCTTATTTAGACCTATTAAAATTAATCTTATTTATAAATAATTTAAATAAAAAATATCTTCTAGCAAAGCTTAATTTAGAGATTTTAAATAAATATATATCTTAGTAATGCTTAGTTATAAATAATAAAAGATATTAATAATAAAATTAATTATTAATTTTTAACTTAGGGTTTGATTAGGGTTAGTACTAAAAGTAATTATTCTTAAAATTTAATTAGTTTTTCTAAACCCTAACTTACCAGCTATCTGCTATATTTAAGAGAAAAAATATTATAAAGAGAAAAGGTCAGCTAGATATAAAATTAAAATACTAGTATTATATAAATATAGACTAATTCTTATCTTTCTAGAGTATAGCAAGATCTGGATATTTAAGATATAGATTCTATTAAATCATTAATATCATGACTATTTTATAATTAAGATATAGGTATTCTGTTATGATAATTACTTAGTTACACAGATTAATTATAATAAGTATTTATAAAAAAAATCTAGTTTTTATCTTTTTATTTATTTTATAGCTTAAGATTTATTTAAAGTATTCTAAAATAAATACTAACTTATAGATATTAGTAATTAATAAATAAAATTATTTAAAAAATTACTAAAATAATTTGATTTCTAATTTTTAAAATTCCTAAATATATTTAAAAAATAGAATATTTATTTATAACTGATTTTTCTATTTAAATATTCTTTCTAGAAAAATACTAAATATAGTTATATTTAATAAAAATAAAGCTAAATCTAATTAAGTAATTCTAAAACTTTATAAAATATTATATATTTTTAGATTTTTTAAAATTATATTAAGGTTTACTATTCTTTACTATCTTCTATTAATAAATTAAATATTAAGATTTTTTAACTTTTAAATCTTCTACTTATATAATTATATATCTTATATATCTATAATTTTTAAAAATTTTAAAACAGTTTAAATCCTATATCTATAAAAAAGAAAATAGAAAGAGATATTATATTATTTAATTAACCTAATTTAAAAGATATATATATATAAAATATCTTAAAAATTACTAGTAAATAGAATTAACTAGAGTAGTTAATAACTAGGTTAAATTAGATTAATTAAAATTTTTATATCTAATTACAGGTTAATAATTAGGTATAAGAAATATATATCTTAAATTAATTTAATTTCTAAAAAATTTTTAAAACTTATTTATTAACTAAATTTAAAAATAAAAAATTAAAGATATCTTAATAAGTCTAGTTTTATTTTATATATTTATTATTTTTAGATTTATAAAGAATTTATTAAAGAAAATAAGTATATGTATATATAAATTTATAGATATATATTTATATAAGAATAATGTTAAATAATATTATATTTAATATAAAGTTATTATACTTTTTTAAAATAATATAAACTCTAAATATTTAATATCTTTTAAAAGTATATATAAGTAGAAATTAGGTAGAAATTAGGAAGAGTTATTCTACTATTTTAAATTATTTTTTAAAATAAGTTTAGTTACTAGAATAGCTAATAACTAGATTAAATTAGATTAATTAAAGTTATATATTTAATTATAGGTTAAGCTACTCTATTTATTACTAAGAAATTTAATCTATAGATTAACTATTAATTAATCTAATTAATAATATATAATTTTTATATTTAATTATTAACTTATAATTAGATATAAAATTTTTAATAAATCTAATTTAAATTACTTAATTAGGCTATTAACTATTTTTTTTATTATTATATAAAAAATAAACTAATTTTTATAACTTCTAATATAATTCTAAGAATTATCTTAAATAAATTTTAATTTAATAGTTAATTAAAGTATTATAATATTTTTATTAATTATAAATTTAAATTTTTATATTTATTTAATTATTAATATACTTATTAGATATCTATTTAAATTAATAATAAACTTAGATTATATTTTAAATAAAATTCTTTAAATTATAAGATATTTCTTTTATAAGAAAAAGAATAATTTCTTGAGTATTAAAGATTTAAATAAATTAATTTTAACTTAAGTTTAAAAGAAGTTTAATCTTTAATAAAAATTACTTAAATTTAATTTTATAATTTAACTTAGTAGTTAATCTTAAAATTATATTAAGTTTTATTTATAGAATCTCTTTTTTAATTACTATAATAAAAAGGATTAAATTAATAATTTATATATAATTTATATAATTTATATAATCTTTAATAAGTTTTAAAGCTAGATTTAAAGAAGATAAAATTAAATCTTTTTTTATTAATCTAAGATTTAATATTTTTTATTATTTATTATTTTTTCTCTAGTTCTGGAATCTTTTTTTTTAATTATAAAAAAACTAGTCTATAAAATTATTAGTTTATTTAATTATAAAATAAGAAAAAGAAAATTTATTTAAAATCTTTATTAAAATTAAGAATTAATAATAACAGTAGTAGAACTAATAATAAGATTATTATATAAAATAATAATCTTTATTATAATTTTCAGGATCTTTTTAATAACTTCTAGTAGTTTAATTAAGTAAATAAAAATCTTAATTATTTTTTTTATAATAATAATAGTATTTTTAAATAGATAAATAAAGTTATTAAAATTAAAAAAATAAATAATTATTTTTTTAATAAAAGTATAGGCTTTAACTAGATAAAAAAAAATAAAAATAACTAAAATAAGAAAAAAAATTATTTTAGTATATATATATATTACAGATATAATAGATATTTTTATAAGTATAGTAAAGATAATAATATTTAATAATAATATAAATAACTAATAAAAAAAAAGATAAAGAGATTAATAGAGAAAAAAAAAAGAAAAAAAAAAAAAAAAGAAAGATTTTATATAAAAGAATAAATCTTTCTAGCTTAATCTTTTTTAAATATATATAAGTCTAGTAATATAATAATAATATAATAATAATATAATAATTATTCAGCTAGTAATACTATAATAATATAATAGTTATATAATAATAATATAATAATTATCCAGCCAGTAATACTATAATAATATAATAATTATATAATAATAATATAATAATTATCTAATTAGTAATATTATAGTAATATAATAATTATATAATAATAATATAATAATTATCTAGTTAATAATATAATAGTAATATAATAGTTATATAATAATAATATAATAAGTAATATAATAATAATAAAGTAATATAATAATAGATCTAAATATAATAAATAGTAGATTATAAATTTAATTAATCTTATTAAATCTATAATTTAATTAATCTTATTAGATCTGTAATCTTAATTATATCTTATCTAATTAAAAGTTTTTTTATTATATTATATCTGAATAAATTATTATTATTATATTTTATTATACTTCTCTGTATTAATTATATTATTTTTATTATATTTATAACTTATATTTAGATTATCTTAATTCTATTATCTTTATTAGATTAATTATTTTTATTTTATTATATCTATAGTATTAGCTACTTTAGCTTTATTAATTCTTAGAATAAGTAGATTAATTATTAAGTATATAAATCCTAGATTAGAGAATTATCTAGTTATATTTTTTTTAATTATTAATTATTTTATCTTTATTTTTATTTTTATTTTTATTTTTACTAGTTTTTAAATAGAATAATTATTATATTACTAAGTTTTAAACTAAAGAATTATTTAACTATTTTTTTTTTAGTTATTAATTATTTTATCTTTATCTTTATTTTTATTTTTATCTTTATCTTTATCTTTATTAATTTTTAAAT